AAAAAAAAAAAAAAAAAGGAAGAGATGGGCCTAATCAAGATAGTTGAATTTAATGTCATATCTGAGGTTGCCTTAGTTCACAAAAGGAAAAACATATATATCAAGAACCAAGCTGAGAGGCAAAATCTTTTAGCAGGGAGGTATGGGGTGGGGTGGAGAAAACACTGAGGTGGTTGCTCAGAAGTCCTAGGTACCAGTCCAAATATAATGTTAGATTGTCTTTACCCACTTCTAGGTCCCAGAAGCCTCATCTGAAAAGCGAGAGGCTTTGTTAGATGATATCTAGGGACCATCCTTGGGCTAAAGAATATCAAGTAGAGTTGAGAGGGAGAGATTTCCTAAGAAATGCTGTTGCCCTGGTCCAAAGCATAGTGCAAGCCAGGTACAGTGGTGTACGTCTTTCTCCTCTGTGATGCCCCTCTGCCATTCCACTCTGCCTTGGAGCCAGCTGACTATGGAGTGAAACCTCTACACACTGAGCTTAAATAAACCTTTCTTCCTTTCACTTGTGAGTATTAGGTATTTTGCTTCAGGAATGAGAAAAGTAACCAAGACACCTTCCAAGTAAGGGTGTGGAGCAGAGTGTGTGTGTATGTAGCTGATGCAGGTGCATCCCTGCAGGCCAAAGTCTGATCTGAACAGATGTTTGCATTTGCTACTTAATTTCATCTGAGCTCCACATTTTCTCCCCTCTGTGGTGGAGGTAATTGGGAAGTGACTGTAGTTCGAATCTCAATAAAAATGTAGGACTTCAGAACAAGGCTGTAGACCTCTTCTTTCTTGCTCTGTAAGTTTTCACTTTTTCTTTTTATGAAACAGACTTGCAAGTATCGTATTGGCTGGGCATGCAGCACAGAGTTTATGAAGAAGGAAGACGTAATTCACTCCTTCCACTATATCTACCGTGTGAGCTGGAGCCTCTCAACTGCTGAGTTACCTGTGGCAAGCGTCTATGCCATTGCCTATTTCACTATCAAGATAAGAAAAAACAAACCTTGGGTAAGCTCTTCCCTTTGGGTCCCATTCCCTTCAGTGAGGTTTCAATGAGAGTATAGGCTTCTTGCAAAGTTGAAGTTATATGGTGTAACCTCGAATTACAAACTTGATGAGTTCCTGAGGGCTGGTTGTAACTCAAGTTGGTTGTAAGTCAATACAGCTGAGATCTGGATGTTTACCTGGGTAAACAATGGAAGATTCACCTGCCTCTTGTTATATCTATAGCGTGTACCCAGGTAAACATGTTGATTTGGTGGCTAGTGTCAAAGGAACCAAAACAATATCCATGAATTTGGGGTCCTCAGAGGAGCAGGAATGATACCAACCATAATGCTAAGACCATAAAAGTATTACTCCCCACCCTTTCCCTTCCCCCTTCCCTTCTCCCTCTTTTCAGTACCAGGGATCAAGCTCAGGACCTTGTGCTTGTCAGGCAAGTATGGCACCACTGAGCTATATCTCGGGTCCTCATTGTTTTCCATTCACTTATCTATCCTTTTACTAAAGTTGAGGTTTTGTCTGCCTCTCCGGCTTTCCATAGGGACCACAAAGTCAGTGAGGGAACCATATCCTCTACTCTTCCTACCCTAGAACAAACTATTGAGTTTAGAACCCAGAATCATCTACAGAGGTACAGTAGGTGGAGAGTTCATTCTCCTGGTCACATGTGCTTCCACCAGCTGTCTGAGCCAGAGTACCAGAAACCATATACAGCAGAGGTTTGGAAGAATGGAGCTTGCTCCGAATTCCAGTCATAATTTTGGAGGCAAGAAAGGGTAGGGACGACTGAGATAGTATGATAGCCTATATTTTTATGCTGCCATAAAATGTTTTCAAAGCTGTTCATCTATATACTTTCCTTCTGGTGCCATCCCTGAAGAGAGAGCTCTATTATTAGCTGAGTAAACCAGAGTGTGTAAAGAAGGTCAATGACAGGGCCGGGGATTTAGCTCACTGGCACAGCACCTGCCTTGCAAGTGCAAGGTCCTGAGTTTGATCCCCGGTACCCTCCCCCAAAAAGGTCAATGATTTACTTGTGCTATTAACGAGAAGCACGAATCTCTGCTGTGTTCCATTTTATGGTGATTCTCAAGGTATTCGCTGTTAAAGAGCTCTTTCTTAGAACAGTTCTGAAGTGATAAAGAACTATGACCTACAGACTCCCAATTCACATGGAAGATGCATTCTGGAAATTGAAGTGTATATACATGGACGCACGTAGGGAGGGAAGGAATTAAGAGTTGGCATGATGTATCTAGGCTGATGATTATCCTTTTCTCTTAGGATGCACCCATTGATATCTCTTACGTATTTGAAGACCAAACATTAGTTCAAAGGTAATAAATATTTGGAGACTTATTGTTTTTGAGACAGGATCTTGCTATGTAGTTTAGGCTGATTTTGAATTTACTATGTGGTCCATGCTAGCCTCAGACTCATGGTGATCCTCCTGCCTCAGCCTTCTGTGTGCTGGGATTACAGGTGTGCATCACCATGTCTGGCTCTTGGGAGATTTTAAAAGGGTGGGGGAAAGGTCATCATACTCCAGGAATCCAGCAGGTCCACAGCCACAGATAATTCATACAATGGTCACTTACCTTCTTTGGATCACCTGCCTCATTAGAATGGGCTGAAAGTATGATTCTGCCATTATTCTAGAAGTTTTTTTTTTTTTTAGTGTCTGTTTCTGTTAATTATAAACCTGAGAATTAATTGCTGGGGTAGAGTAGGAGCACAGTAGGTCATGTTTGTTGTTTCAGCGTGAAACTTCAAAATCATGGGAATGAAATCATTGTATAATTTTATAAATTTATTTGTATATTATCACTTAGAGATTCTTTACATGTGAGATCATTAATCCTTTGTTGATTGGGCCTAAGGCACAATAAAGAATAGCTAGACCCCTTGCCACCTCCTCTTGTTTAGCACTTTTTCTACCTTTCCCGCCCCCTAGGAATGTAGCAGAGTAGGGAGGGGATCTCTGACTCAAGTTTTGTATGATTTTCAGAAGTTTTTGGTGTTTGTCTTCCTTTCTAGACCTGAATGGATCTGCTTTCAAGAAGGAATACTGATGAACATTATTGAAGCCAAACACGTTTTGATAAACTCAATCAAAGCATATTTAAGTGCCTGCTCTTTACAGGAGACACTGTAGGGTTGTTTTTCTACTAAGAATATATTAAAAATAGGGCCAGGGATTTAGCTCGGTGGTTCCGGTGCCTGCCTCAGAAGCACAAGCACACAGACCCGAGTTCAGTCCCCAGTACCAAAAAAAAGAGAGAGAATATATGAAAAATACAATATAGCACATCAAACCACAGAATATTTATTGAATAAACTTGTGGCACACAATTAAGCTGTATTTTTTGTATTCATTCATTTTCCATTCTGCAATTTCCATCACATTAGCAGGGTAACCAGAAAGTTGTTTTCTATTTTCTACAAGATTTTTCCCATCATTTTGCATCATTTTTGGGTCTTACAAGTACAGAGCTGAGTTTAAAGAGTTGCTAAAATTCACCTGTCAGACCAAATTATGGCTGGTACTTAGCAGGTTATCCTCTGATATGCGCCTAAGTCTCCAATCCAGACACATCCTTATGACTCCGACTGGGGAACAAAAAGATGGCAAAGGTTCTAAAGTTCCCAGTATAACCAGTCTGAAGGTCAGCCCTCCTCACAGATCACTTTATTTACTGTGAGTTGGCCTTACTCTTGAAAAGTATGTGTAATACTGATTCCTGGCATGGTGTCTTCTGCAACACACCATCATGCCTGTGATGGCAGCAGGGTGGTGTGAGGACAGGGGACAATGCAACAGAAATAGGTTCAATCAGTACCCTTCCTTATTTCTGGTCTGCCCATCCTCATGTCAGATCATCACTTGTTTCTACCTTTTCTGAGAAGCTCCCTTACCTGGCTGCAAAATTCTAAAACACCAAAGACAAATTTACATTATACTCTGAGTGATTACTCACAAGTACATCAGAATACATACTCAGACAAACACTGGAAAAGAACACAGAATACTAGCAATTGATATGGTAGGACTGTGAATAATTTTTCTTCCTAAGACTCACATTTGTGCAATAAATTAAAAGGAAGGGAAATCCTATCAGCAACAGGTGAGGAGGTGGGAAACTAGGTGTCTCCTTGAAGAATAGAAAAATATCTTTGAAACACAATAGCCCTACCACTTGACTTATGGCTCAGGTGAACATGGTTTGAAGCAGTAAGACTCATAAGCAGAAAATAAGCCCTTTTATTCTTCCTTCTTCTTTCCCAAAGAATATGGTATTGAAGCTATTGTTTCATAGATATTTCCCAAAAAACTCTGATGAAAAAAGTGGTAAGGCTCTCAAATGATTTTTCTTTCATTTACTCAAATGGAAATCCACAATATTCATATATGCATTGCAAAACTGCTTGCCTAGTAAAAATAAAAGAACACACTATTTCAGTTTCTAAGAACCAGTAACAAAAATATCCCTAGAGAATAAAACTTAAAAGTGGGGATTATAAACTTTAGGTTATATTATACAAGGAAGTAGATGGATTAAGATTCACAAGTTTGGGACCTAGTTTCCTTTTAACTTTTGGAATTTAGGCTAGGTAGCATAATCACCTCAAGTTTAGGGATCATAAATGTTGCTATATGCTGACTGCTGTTCAGTTTAGCAGGTCTGGATTAAAGATAGACATTTTCCAAGAATATATGTTAAATAGAAAAACTTGTGCTCTGTATTTGAAATGAGTGCCTTATTTAAAAATTGAACAAAAACCACTTTAAACAGGTATAAGAAGGGCATTTTATAATGGCATAGTCAAAATTTTCCTGTCACCCAACAATCTTAAGTATATCCTATGTTTATAATAATAATGGAGATCAAAACAACACTGGGCCGGGGATTTAGCTCAGTGATTCTGCTGCCCGCTTTGCAAGCACAAGGTCCTGAGTTTGATCCCTGGTACCAAAAAAAAAAAAAACCAGCAAAAACTTCAATTGTCTCCTCTCCAAAGTGACCTAATTAAATTGAACAAAATAAGGGAAGGAAAAAGATTATGACCTCACAGTCCTACCATTTGCACTTTCCAAAAAACGATGTGAAGGGGTTTTATACAAAGTTAACAATTAAACTGAACTATAGATATAAGTTCAACTGAAAAATTTAACAATATTTATAACTAGATCTTATTACATGAAGGAAAGTTTAAAAATGTTTAATATCAAGGCTGAGACAAGAGGATCACAAGTTCAAGCCCAGTCTGAGCAACTTTATGACTAACATTCTGTCTCAAAAAATAAATAAAAATAAAAGTAGAAAGGGCTGGGGATGTAGCTGAGTGCAAAGCTTCAGGATTTAATCCATAGTACTGCAAAAAAGTTTAATATCATTTTAGCTTCATCTTATGAAACAACTAAAATACTGACTCATTATAATATTTTTCCCTACTAGCACGTGACTCGTTTACCCTGATTCTTTTAAGATGTTATCCTATCATTAAAGTATAGATGAAATAGAAATAAGGTACTTACACTGGCACAGCAATAGACTTCCCAAGACTTTATATTTGAAAGTATTTTTTTTTCTTTTGCAATGCTGCGAATTGAACCCAGGGTCTTAGGTATGCTAAGCATGCACTGTACCACTGAGCTGGATTCCCAGCCCTTGAAAGAGCTATCCTTAAGAGGATTAAGAATTTAAAACACCATATGTTTATATTTTCAATTCAACAAATCCATGAGTTAGTTTGCTTTTTGGCATGTTATTTCATTTTAGAGTATAGGTAGGGACTGCAAGCAAAATACACTACTCCAGGGCAGACTATATGTTACATCATACAAGTCAGTTTTCAAATTCCAGACGTGCTCTTTTTTCAGTGAAGCTTTCATTTTGTTAACAGAAGTAGCCTCCTATGTAGTTTCTATCAAGTCCATTTATAACACGTTCAACACAGAGGAATGATAATTTCCCTCGAGGATACTCGGGGTAGGGGTCGGCATTGTGTAGAGCCAATCGGATCATTGAGCCTTAGCATGAGGTTAAGTTTGTCATCTTACTGACACTTTCTATCCATGCCACCTCCCCTAATACAGTAGGATTTCATTTATAATTTGGAATTTTAAACCAAAACACTAAGGTCAATCCCAAATAACCCAAATAATTTACTAAAGTTATTATCAATAAGCAGTTTTTTATTGAAGGACTGAAGGAATTAAATAGAAGGCACAGTAGCACTGTAAAACTTTTTCAGAGCATAATCTTTTTGTGTATGTGTAGAACCTAGACTTTCTTTTTTGTTGTGAAAATGTCTGCTTTAACAATTAGAAAATCCTTATTTGTCATCCTTCCCTTTGGTCTTTCTGTATACCATCTCTCGAAAACTGGCCAGAATTTTGTTCTCTCTCTTTCGTCTCTCTTCTTGGTTAAAAGATGCAAGAGCTCTCTTCTCATCAGCACTATAGATCTGGTTCTCTTTTCGCAGTCGCACAGCCTCCATTCGGCGATGCCTGGAGATAATTTGATATTTGTCTTAGTTTCTCAGTAATCATTCTCACAGATTGTCCTCATTAATCCCTTGATACAGAATGGTTAATTTAAAAGCTGACACATAGAAGCTTTTTGAAATGAGTTAAATTATCACAAGATCATTTATGTCATTCAATTCAAATTGCGATCTCAAGTTCTGTCAACATACTGAATGTTATCATTAATTTCAAATGTTAAGGGTGTAAGTCCAGTTTAATTGTTTGCAGTAAAACAATCAAAACACAAATTATTACATTTCCTAGGTGATGTGTCCATTTGCCTTGTAGAATTGATAGCAGGACAGTTGAGAGATGTAACTTTCCATCAATCAAGTGGCACTTCTTTAAGGTTCTACTTTACCAATACAACTAAAAGAACCAAGTCTTAATCTATAAATGAAGAGGGGTCTGTGGGTAGGTTTAACTTCTTTAGAATCCACTAGGGACGCAAAGAAAAGAAGGGATTTCTTACAAGGGTCAAATTACTAAAGTATAAGAGTAGAGGCAGAGGGAAACTATGATATCATATACAAATGGTCTCTTTATTTAGAGGGCAACCTGCCTTTCTTGCATATATGTACCCAATCCTACAGAATCTCTCAAGAAACTTGAACTACTCCTGGAAAAACAGAAAAATCTGGGTAAGGAGAAGAGGGGAGAATCAATTTAGTGTGAATGCAGGGGAGTGGCAAGATGGGACAGACAAAGAAATGATGCTATATTTAGGTTGCTCAGGGGAAGTGAGTATTCTGAACAGTTTATCTGGCAAAGAAATTGCTACAGCCACAGAACCTTGACCATGTCCAGTCTCGCCCGATCTCAGAAGCTAACCAGGGTTGGGCCTGGTTAATACTTGGGAGAAAGAGCTACATGAAGGATGTGAAAATGAATTTCCATATATGTGTCTCCTAGCATATGGGAAATTTTTTTCTCTTAGGTACCCTGCTGTGGACCTTCTGTATTATTGTTTCCCAAAGTGTACCAATCAAAATAAAAAACCACTGGCAGTATTTTAGAGAATAGCAGCATTAAAGTTGAACTTGAAAAAAGTGCCACTTAATTGATGAAACATTACACCTCTCATCTGTCCTGCTATCAAATCCATACCCTTTCAAATGCTTGGCACTGTCAGAACTTTGAACTTTTTTCTATCAAATGGGTGTAAAGTGGTATCTCACTAAATTCTTGATTTCTATTACTACTAATAAAGAATATCTTTTTATGTATGTACAGGCAATATGTATTTTTCTGAAAAATGTCTCTTTGGTCACCCCCCCCTTTGGGTTGCTCATAGGTATGCTTTAAATATTCTCAATACTCTTTATCAGTTGTGTGTACTCCAAGATCTTATCCCATCATGGAACTTATCTTTTTTTTGTTGTTTGCTTTTGGTACTGGGGATCAAACTCAGGACCTTGCACTTGCCAGGCAGGTGCAGAGCCACTGAGCTAAATTCCCGGCCCTGGATGTGACTTTTGATGAACGTGAGTTTTTACTTTTAGCCTAGGTAAACTTCTCAATACTTTATTTTATGGTGTGTTTTTTGTTTTCTTTAGAAAACATTTTATCCTAAGGTCTAAAAGATATCTGCTCTTAAAGCTCTTAATTTAGCTGCACAGCCTTTCTTTTATTTATTTATTTAGTTTTCCTCATTGAGTTTATTGGTACATTTTAGGTATACAGTACAGTTACAATCATTATTGGAATCTTGTACCTTTACATGACAGGTCTTGGTTCTCATTTTTCCCCTTGTCCCTCCCCTCCCCATTTACAAACATTTTATTTCCATTTTTTCATTTTCTCCTATTTTTTTCCTTTTCCCTTATTACCTTTCCCCTACCCTTCCTACTTTCCCTACACCTTTAGCCCTTTTCTTCCTATTTCACACTGTCAATTATCTCATTAGGATCTTATGTACTATTATAGTTTGTTCACCCCATGCGCAGCCTTTTATATATGGTGAGTTTGGGTCCTACTTTCATCTTTTTCTACATGGATAACTATTTCCTCCTTTACTCAATAGTTCCTTCTTTCTACACTGATCTGACATCTCGTTTCTTTCATACAACTGAAGTTTCAAAAAGGTGTGGCTGTTCTTAGCTTCAAACTCAACTATATGCTTTCTTAACCAAAATGCCACATTCCTCATGGGACTATGATAATCTTTCTCCACAGTGGATAAAATATCTGTGCCAAAATATGAACAGGAAAGTACACCAAAGTATTTTATTTCACTGGATAATTTGGTTTCTGAGGTGCTGTAAACTTTGTAAGTTCTCATCTGTGGCAAGACAAATCTCTCCTTCCTTACTCTTCTTCAGAAATGACCTGGCTAAGCTGGGCATGGTGACAGCTATAATCCCAGCATTACTGGAGGCTGGGCTGGAGGAGCAGTTCGAACCTAGCTTGGGCAACTTAGTGAGATCCTGTCTCAAAATAAAAAAAGAAGACTTAGGGATTTAGCTCAGTGCAAAGACCCTGAGTTTAATCCTCATTACTGCAAATCAATCACTCAAATAAAAACTGACTATCCTTGGCCTTTTAGTCTAGCAAATATATTATAGAACCAGCTTATTGAGTTTTATAAAAAAAACCACTGATTGGAATTTTATTGAATCTATAGATCAATCTGGAAAGAACTGACAACTTTACAGTATTACCTTCCTTCCATGAACATGTTATTTCTCTACTTACTTAGGTCTTCTTTAATATCTCTCAATAATATTTTATAGTTTTTCCCTATAGGAAAGTACAAAGAAATACTGATTCCTTGAAGTTGGGGATATAATTGACTTTGAAGCTAAATTTCATATATACTTAAGATTTTAGCCAAGTAAGTTTATATCAAAAAACCAATATTAAACTAGTATTTATATTCTACTTTCCATTATGAATAGTGACTTAATGAAAATCAATCACCAAAATATAATTCTGATGGTAACAAGGAAAAGATCTAACCATAGAAATTGAGCTCAATGCCAAGAACATACCTGCTACCACTCATTACGTAACCAGAACACTCAAATGATGCAATTTCTTCACTTGTCAACCCAATTTCACCTCTTCGTGGAATACGTTTTCCAGCTTTTACATACTCAGCCATAGCTGCACCTTCACCAGGTAACAGAGCATGGCCATAGCTATAAATAATTCAAAATTCAGAAAGGTCCATTAAACCACAATACAGAAGCCTCATCATCTAAAGAGTGCACAAAACATTTTCTTTCTGATAACAATAGGAACAATAGTGCCAAGCAGTAGTGGGCTACTGTAGGAAGTTCAATGTGAATCACTTTAATTAGCAAACATTATACTATGGCTTACATTACTAACCCAGAAATGCAAAAGTAGTTTGGAAGAACTGATGTTAGTGTGCGTAGTTGTACAGCTTATACTGGATGGGTAATTTAGCCCTATAGGTATTGCCATTACTGCTTTTGCATCCAGTTCATTCCCTTTCTCCTTTTCTCTTAAAATAACCTAAAGTAAAGAAATAACGTATCTCCAATTGACATATCTTTTTTTTTTACTAATAACCAACAATAATGCTATACAGTTACAATTATCTGTTACCTTTGATTCAAAGGGACTTTAAAAAGCTATTATCCCTTTATTCAATTTGATGAATGTTTCTTGCATACCTATTAAACTCAGAGTTTGTAATATTAAAAATAATCTCTGCTCTTGTGGAGTTTATTAGTAGTAAGATAAAACTGCAATACAAGGTAAAACATAAAATACATTGCACAGAATCAATATACAGTGCTGTGAGAATTAAAGAGGGGTAGAAATCACAACTAGTTGTGGAGGAGTAATACTGGGAATCAGTGTATCTACTTCCTTTGGAAAAGGGCTTTGAGGGCTAGTTAAGGATTTTAACAGGAAGAAACTGAGGATAGGAAAGAATATGGGGTAGGGAAAAGAAGGGAAGGCATGTTGGGGGAACAAACAAGCTAAACAAGGAAGAAAAATGGGAAAGTGCACAGCAAGCACTTTTAGTAGTCCAGTTCAGTTGGAAGCTAGGGTACAAATAAGGAAATAGGGTACGAATAAGGGAGATAAGTTTGGCAAGATTAAGTTAGGGCCATAGTTTTGGAAGGTACTTTAGATATAAATATACTGCTACTTACTTCAAAGGTTTATCATCTTGAGAGGCAAGTGTTTTTGGAGCTTCTGGGCCAATTAAATCAGACGGTTCTTCAGCCTCTGCACAAAAGATGTTCAGAAATGCATTCACATTTGACCCTTTAGTTACTTTAAAGTTTTGTCTGTTCTGAGTTAAAGGCTATCAGAACTTACTTGATCGATCCTTCCAGAGATTCTCCAGAAATTCCTCTTGGGAATCTTTAGAACTTGAATCACTGGACTCTTTTCTGCTTTTCTTAGACTTCTTTTTCTTATATTTCTTTCTGTAAGGATTATAAATTGATACAAGTTCACTTAATATTCCCATGTTAAGGAATATCTTAATTTTTAAGGCAATGAAAATGACCTGAATTTCCATCTTATTCAAACTTACTAGAGAAGAATTTTAACTAAAAAGTCTAACATTTAACAAAATCATGCTTTACTATTTAAAAAAAGATCACTAAAAGAACAATGAAATACATTTCTTATGGGATAGAATGACAACAAAAATAAAAAGGCTTAAAAAACAGCTCTTAGGGGCCGGGGATTTAGCTCAGTGGTTCGGTGGCCTGCCTTGCAAGCACAAGGACCCGAGTTCAATCCCCGATACCAAAAACAAAAAACAAAACAAACAAAAAAACAGAAAAAAACAGCTCTTAGGGCCGGAGATTTAGCACAGTGGTTCCACCACCTGCCTTGCAAGTGCAAGGGCCTGAGTTCGATGCCCGGTACCAAAAACAAAACAAAACAACAACAACAAAAAAAACAGCACTTACCAAATTAAGCATTAATAATTTTGAGTGTAAAGGAGTAAAAATACAACAAATGTTTAAATCCTTGAGATAATACTAAAAAATATAATCCAATATTTTGCAAACTCATAAAACTGAAAAATTAAACAATTATTCATTTTTTGCTCTTCCTTTTTATAGATCTCTAAATTTCTTATTTTTGGGGGCAGTGCTGGGGATCAAACCCAGGGCCTCATGCATACCGGGTAAACACTACCACTGAGCTATATCCCCCTAACCTTTTTGCTCTTCCTGTACAAACTGTACTTTAGGATATTCAAGGATATTCAAATTGTTGATGAGCTTCTCTTATAGAATTATTCTACCTATTTAATGAAGAAGGCAAGCTAGAGTTAGACTATCATCATGTTGCAATCCCGCATGAAATGAGACATCAATGGCTGTTAGTATGGCGAAATGAGACAAGTAGACATCGTCTCTCTTCTGATGGAAGTATACAGTATCACCTATGAAGTATTCCTGCCCAAAAACTCAAATCTGGATTGGCAGGCCTCTAGTACTCTACAGGAGATACAGAAAACAGGCCATGCTAAAGGACTCTTTACAAATGTAATCATTACAATTTATGGATCCTGACTTGACTAAGCTGAAGAAAAACCACTGAGAATTGAGTAATTATTATTAAACATTTTAGGTATGACAGTAGTTTTATGGTTATTTTTTGGTTTGTTTTTAAAGAATGCCTATCAGAGAAAGGTGCTGAATTGCTTATGGAGGGAATGATATCTGGAATTGGTTTCAAAATAACTGGGAGGGCACTATCTAGGAGTTGGTGATTATTCCAAGTGGGGGATGGGTACATGGGGGATTATACTATTTAATGTAATTTTATACACATTTTAACTTTTCCATGAAATAAAGAAAAAACTGACGATCTGTGTTTCTTCTTCTTTTCCTTTTTCTTTGCTTTCTTTGCTCTCCTTTTTGTATCTTCATCTGCAATTAAAGCACATTATAATTGAAAAATAATTTAAAATTCTAAAACCCCAACATGTTTGGGTAGATACATATCCTATTGCTATTCCATTTGCTGTCACAGAAAAATTCAATCATTCTAACATGTATTGCAACTTGGCACAAACTGCATTAGGCACTTGGGTAGATATAAATTAAAGGTTATTAGGTGATATAAAGTATTAATTTCACTGCATGGGACAACAATATTGTCTTTAAGTAGGAATATGTCTATTTTCTAAAGATACAGAAATATTTAGGATCAAAGTATATTTGTAATTCACTTTGAATATCTCAGCAAAAAACCCATACTTGAAGCAATTATGTAAAAAATACTGTTAAATCTGAATAAGTATATGATATTAAGTATAATAACTACATTATTTTTGTTACTTAGATGAATGTTTCAACAGTTTCATAAAAACAGGGGATATGTGTTGGGGTACAGGGGAAAATGCTTTCCAGGAGGTGGGTATAGCCCAGGACAGAGATGGGTAAAGAGATACATGCAATCCAGAGGGACAGAGGGAAGTATGGAGTTGTGTGGGCAAACACAGGAGCCTCAAAACCAGGCTGATCTGGGGAGTCTGGCTGGGGAATGGCCAACCAGGAAAAGGTGACATTTCAGCTAGTTCTGTCTGCAGTCACTTTATTACAAAAGCAATGAGTGCCCATAGCTGCAGTGAGTAAGCCAAGCTGGACGGGGGAGAGGCTGGCAGGGCCCCTCTGTACCAGAGGACAGAGTCCAGGGAAGGAACACAGAATACTGAGGAGAACAGAATAGCAGAGGATGCAACAAGAGAGAGCGGCAGGGCGCGTGACTAGAGAGGGGTCATTGGGGCCTGAACTTGACCCTGAAGGCTATCGAGGCCGATGGAAGGATTTAAAGGAGGGGACTGACACCCTCGTATTTGTGCTTTAAGAGAGTTCAGTCTTCCACCAACGAGGAAGAGCAGTGACAGTGGGGACCAGAAAACCTAGGTGACATCAGAAGAGGAGGCGCCTTTGTGTACTGTGTCAACAGCAGAGGAGGCACCCTCTGGTCAGTCGTCAGTCGGGAGGGCACAAAAATTTGGCTTTGATAAGCATAACTGCAGAAATAGAAAAATAATAAGAAAAATGAGTACACTGGATAAATCCATTAAAAAAACAAAACAAAACTCGTGGCTCATTGGGATGCACCTGCCCAAATCAGGTGCCTGCATCAACAGGCGGTCAGACTGAAGGGACCCTTTTATGGCACCTCTGAAAGCGTGATACAGAGGCACCTGCAGGGCATGAGAAGTGCACAAATGAGCCCAGCCCCAGGCTGTAGCACTCTAGAAAGCTTGCTTTGGCACCACATCCCACAGCCCAGGCCCGAGCTGATCCGGTACCAGGCTCTTCATGCAACTATGCACAACCAGTCTGCAGTCAGTCTGCTGCACCTGGAGGCCCAGCTGGGGCTTTGCGTGTTGCACATATCACCTGTTCCGTGCCTCCATTTTCTCACCTGTAAGATGTTACTGTGAACACACAGCACTTAGCAGGGTGCCTGGCACAAGGTCAGCAAGTGTTGAGAAATTTTGGGCCGCTACTGTTTTAAGAACCCCTTTTTGTGTAACAGCTTTTAAGAAGTAAAACTGGAGTTGAGGTGAGGCTTGCACTATGATATCAGCTTTCTTACCACTGGAGTCTGTTTCAGAATCAGAGTCACTGTCACTATCTTCAGAATATTTCTTGTGTTTTCTTTTAGATGATTTCTTCTTTCTCTTTTTCCTGGACCTTTCTTTTGAATGGGTAGACCTTTTCTTCTTTTCATCTGTAAAAAAATGAAAAAAAAGCTAACTTCTAAAAAGTATTTATGAACATCAACTTTACTGTATTTGAAATACGGAAAAAGAACAGATTGAGAACTTAAATAAAAGCAAGTCTAACGTTCAACTATTTATAAACTTACTTTTTTTTGCGGGGGGAGTTGGTTGAGACAGGGTCTCACTGTGTAGTCCAGGCTGGCCTTGAACTCACTATGTAGCCCAGGCTCACCTCCAACTCACAGTGATCCTCCTTCCTCAGCCTCTCAAGTGATGGGAATAGAAACTTACTTTTTAAATCTATCAACTAGAGAATTCTGTATTTTAAAAAATACCTTCTGAACTGGATGCTGAAGTAGTGCTTTTCTTTGGCTCTTCATCCTCTACTGGTGTATGTTCATCAGAGCTGAATTTAAAGAAAACGGTTGTAAGAATTTAAAAAGTGATCAAATATGGACGACTGAATATGGACATGGCCTTAAAGTTTTCCAGTAACAGTCCTGACTGTCCAAGAACAGAGCAAGCACTGAACCAGTTTTCTAAGAGTATATATCAAGGGTCTATATCTTCATAATAAAACAATTTACATTTGTATAATGCTCTAGACAAAGTGCTATTCAAATAAAGCGGCATGGTAGATTTGTATTTTCATAAGAAACCACAAGTCAAAAGCAGACAAATAAGAATCATAAGGGAAGATGAACGAAACTGGAAGACTTCATGATACTATTCTTTCTTTATATTTTTTTGGCAGCAATGGGGATCAAACTCAGTACCTTGTCCCCATTAGAAAGCCCTCTATCACATATCTCCAGCCCTATGATTTTATTCTAAGTATGTAAAAGACTAATGGTAGAGAAGCAATTGTTCAGTCTCCCCTGAATATGAAGAACCTAACAAACTACAGTCTGAAATAGATTTTATTCTTTTGCAGAGAATTCTTTTTCTTTTGGTACTCTCAAATCGAACTCAGGACCTTGCACTTGTGAGGCAGGTGGCAGTACCACTGAACTAAAATCCCAGGCCCTGCAGAGAAGTTTTTCTTTCTTTTTATTTGGACTGGTGATCGAACTTGGATTCTTGTGCTTGAAAGCCTACAGAGAATTCTTAAACTGGATTTTATTTCTATAATAGTTCAGAAGGGGAGTTAGCATATAATTGCTTCTTCTGAAACTCACAGCTGGAATAATTTAGGTACTGTCGAGAAAATTCATTTTAGAGTTTATTCCAACTCTAATTCTATGGGTTCATGTTTTTCAAGACTTCTCCAAAGAATAAGTTAAGAATACGTTTTGGATGATAACATTTTATCACCTTGCCACAAATTATAGTCACATCTGTTAAGCACATTGTCTCAACTTAAAGTAGACATAGAAATTCAGGGAAGGGAAGCAGAAATTTAGGAGCAGCACGAAAGACAACAAAATAAGGAGCCAGTAGTGTGGCTCTGTGGTACAGCACTTGCCTAGTAGGTATGAAGCCCTGAGTTGGATCCTCAGCATTGCAAAAACCAAACCAGGGGCCAGGGATTTTGCTCAGTGGTTCTGTCACCTGCCTCACAAGTGCAAGGATCCAAGTTTGATATCTGATACCAAAAAAACAAAAACAAAAACAAAACAAAAAAAACCAAGAAAAAAAATAATAAAAAGAAGGAAACAAAGGCCTTCTATCTCAGATAGTATTGGATACAGGAAGTGAACTAAACGAAACCATACTGGCACACTCATTTCCAAAAGTCTCTTTGTAATACTGACATTTAACATGCAATCTGCTCCTGAGTTGAGAAAAAAATCAAAATACTATAAACTCAACGTTGGACATCTCTATGAATAGGAAATTAGCACCCCATGAGCTACAATTCAGAGAGAATTAGTTTGCTATAATCCACTATTCATTTCTAAACATTTTTATTAGTACATGTTTGCAGTATGTAATGATTACATTCATCATGGGGAGTTGGTACATGTACATAATATATCTCCATTCTTTTTAATTCCCCTTCTAGCAACATGTTTAATCCTTAGCTATATTCCAAAATTTTTTTAAAATTTAAAGATTAGAACAGCATAAATCACATAAAGAAGAAAAAAATCTGAGATGTAAAGTTCCTCATGTAACAAAAATTTTCACAGTATACTCAGGATTTAAATTATTGTTGTAACATATTTTTTTTTGAGACGGTCTTGCTATGTATTTTAGGCTGGCCTTGAACTCAGTAATGTAGCCTGGCTGGCTTCAAACTGGCAGAGATCCTCCTGCCTCTGTGTTTGTGGAGTGCTGGCATCACAGGTGTCCATCACCACGCCTGGTTTGTAACATATTTTAATAAGATATTTTTAAACCACTTACTCTGGTTCAGGATTCTTTGGAGAAAGTCCCCATACTTCAGGAGCTCCCAATTCTCCAATCCTTTCTCTTTCACTTAATCTCCTAGAAGACATAAACATTTAAATTATAACTCAATTGACTATCTCCTAAATGTTATATATAATCAAATTCAACAGGAATTCCAGTTAAGTCCTATTGTTTTTTGGTACCGGGGATTGAATTCGGGTCCTTGTGCTTTTGACGCAAGCGGTGGAACCACTGAGCTAAATCCCTGGCCCCAAGTCCTATTTGTTTGTACAGGTTTCATTTCCTTCTCTCTCTCTTTTTTTTTGGTACAGGGGATTGAATTCAGGACCTTGCGCTTGCAAAGCAGGCGTCAGAGCCACTGAGCTAAATCCCCAGCCCCTCTTTCCTTTTTTTGAGATGGGTTTTTGCTTTTTTTCTGGCTACCCTCAAAACTCTTAGGCTGAAGAACTCCTTCTGCCTCAGACTCCTGGCTTTCCCTGTATATTTTTAAAGTTAACAAAAAGTTGCTTTAAATGGAAACTCATTGCTTAGGATTTGATGCTTTGAAAATACCACCAATTGGTACAAACTGTCCATAGCCTCAATGGTGAGGTCAGAAAGAACAGCCTGAGAGATTGTCAAGGGCATTCCTTGTGCCAAGAACATGAGACAGCTTATAATTGCTCATTTCACTGTCTGCAATAAATGACAGAAACCAGTTTTGCATTTAGAAATAACTTCATTTGGGGCTGGGGATGTAGCTCAATGGTGCCACCACCACCTGTCTTGCAAGGTCCAGAGTTTGATCCCCGGTACCAAAAAAAAAAAAAAAAAAAAAAAAAAAAAAAAAAAAAAAAAAAAAAAAAAAAAAGAAAGAAAGAACTTCGTTTGTTTATGCATGATTAATGATTATAAAAGTAAAGAGAAGTCTCTTTTGATTTGGTCAAATGTTCAGTTTTCAGAAACATAGGAAATAATAAAATAGAAATGTAGCACTAGAAGTAGAAAACAGTTCTGAAAATGAAACAACATTCATTTGACAAAAATTGTACTCAGACACAAGGTTTATTCTCTTTTAGTTCCTTTTGGGAAAAGAGTACATTCTTACTCTTAGGAGGGTATTAATTTTTTTTCTTTTAGGGCCTGGATTTAGCTCAGTGATTCTGCTGCCTGCCTTGCAAGCACAAGGTATTGAGTCCAATCCTGGTACCAAAAAAAAAAAGAAAAAAATTTTTTTCTTTTACAATGTTTGTAGTTTCTTGTTTTAAATTTTGCTATCATTCATAAAGTAAAACAAAACAAACTCAAACTCTCTAAGGCTCAGTTCATTAACATTTGGCTGCTTGTGACTCCACTGGTTTTAAAAATCCTTACAAAATAAATATAATTGGTTTGAATTTTTTTATTTTATTCAAAAGAAATTTCCCACTTGGAAGAAACAGACAATCTAAATGGGACATAATTATAACTGTACTGGGAATAAATGCATATGGGAGAAGAACACCTACTGAACTGTAAAAATCATGAAATCCTGTTCTTTTACCTGTTGCCATGTGGATTTACCTGTAAAGTTAAATTGTCTTCTGAATTACAACTGCAAATTTCACCCAAGCAGTTCTGACATTTTTTGGTGAGGACTCTGTGGTAAGAAGCCATTGGCTTTTTGATGAACACACTAAATATCTTTCTGAATTTAACTCAGAAAGATAGGTTTTTAATCTAACTGGTTTGTTACCATTTCTGCTCTTATTCATGAAGCAGTAACAACTAAAACTGATGGAATATTTATATTCTAGGTACTAAGTTATTACAATTTTAAAAGCCTTGGTACTAATTTTATCCCTCTTTTTTGTAGTGCTGCAGATGGAACTCAGGGCTCCGAGTGCTAGATGAGCACTTTGCCACTGAGCTACATCCCCAGCTATTTCCTTTTCGGTGGTGAAGAAATGAAGCTCTGAGAGGTTAAGTAAACTGACCCAGGCTACTATGCAAATAAAGTGGCAAATAAAGGCTTCAAACTCAGTATGATTCTGGGACGCCCTTCTTATTATCACCATAATTTATTATTCCCACCTCTGCAAGAAAGAGTCATGAAGGCATCTCTCGACTGTTGGAACTTTAACCTATCCCTCAATGCCTATAATACTGTATAACACTTCTTGCGTTTAAAACACATAGTTAATGGCTTAGTACAATGCCTAACACAATAAAAGTAGACATTATGACTCACATAGTAGTAATCACAAGCCTCTTCCTTTTTCCCTTCTTAAACTACACACTTTCCCACACCAATATTCACCCTCATTAGGAAGATCTGATCTCACCCTGGCATATTTTTTTCATGGTCAAGATTGAGACCACGCAATCGGACTTTTTTTAGGAAACTTCATCCACAGCTTAGCTGATCACTTTTCCCACATGCATCTAATCATCTTGTGAGAGGGGACGGTTTCCCTCCTCTCCAATTTAAACCTTTAATTTCAAGCCTTTCCAATTTCCTGCAACAGGCACTGCTAATTCTGTGATCAATACAATAGGGCTCTCCTTTTTCAGGAGTTCAGCTTAGTGAGGAATAAAAACATGCACACGAAAGATAATGACCAACCAGGTAATGTACATGCTATAATTGCGGTACATCTGGGCTCTGGGCGATATCTGCTAACAAGCCAGGAGGGAAAAGGGGGTGTCGGGAAGCCAGGGCACGTAGGAAGGACCCTGAGGAAATTGTAAGGAAAGGAAAGGACGAATAAAAGGTGTTCGTGGGTGGAATGAAGAGGGATGAAAATGGGCCAAAGGCAGGGAGAGTGAACGAAATGCCCACAGTCAAAATCGTCAGAAACAGAAGGAACCATAAAACGGACAGGTGGGTCCATACGGGGGAAGGCGTGGCGATCTCACTCACTTCTGCCGCAGGCTCTCCTCCCTCTCCTTGTCCAGGAGGCTGGGCCACGGCTTGTCGCAGCCATAGGGGCGCGAGTAGGCGCCATAGTAGGCGGACGAGGAGGCAGACGCAAAAGGGGTGCTCCGCTGCGCGGAGGGTCGCTCTCGAGAGCGGGACCGCGAGCGGGAGCGGTGCGACTGATTTCGGGAGCTTTGGCTGAGGCCACTCAGCGGATGGCTGAGGCCATTCCGATCACCAGACCGAGAACAAGAGCGTGAGCGAGATCGGCGGCCCCGCGGAGAGCGGGAGGATTTGCTGGGCTTGGGGCTCTTCGACAAACTGCGCGCTGCGCGGAGGGTCGCTCTCGAGAGCGGGACCGCGAGCGGGAGCGGTGCGACTGATTTCGGGAGCTTTGGCTGAGGCCACTCAGCGGATGGCTGAGGCCATTCCGATCACCAGACCGAGAACAAGAGCGTGAGCGAGATCGGCGGCCCCGCGGAGAGCGGGAGGATTTGCTGGGCTTGGGGCTCTTCGACAAACTGCGAACTGCGACGCTCTGGCGACCCTGGGAAGATCTCCGTTGCGTTGGCTCTCAGAACCCTCCGGCTCGTAACCTCCCAAGCCTGTAGAAATCTTGGAAACAGTTCCGGGTACGTCGTCAAATCCGTTCCCCGGACCGAGGGGCTCCTCCTGCTGATGGGGCGGGCTGTGTGCGTTGTAGAAATTAGCCGGTCAGAAAACCGGATAGGTGCAACTCTTAGGTTCCGAGGGAGGCTCTTGAGTTCCAATCCCTTCAGGAGAACCAGTCATTTCTCAGCCTCGATTGAACATGGACTACCTCAAGGGAAAGATGACGCGATACAGGATATATTTCACTCAGTAGCCTTATGACTAGTAAGCCGATATTGTACGTGTTTTGAATGCTTTCGATATGTAACTATATATGAGTGTTTATGTAGGTGTGGATGTGCGCATGTAATTATATACGCTTTTTATTTTCCTTAAACTCCCATGCGAAATGAGGGTTTATCGAGAGTAACAGTGAGCTATGGTGTCTAAGCGCCCGTATTGTACAGTTAGCTTAAAAGGCACGAATCCTCTTAATGACTTGAACCTAATGCACTCTAGTGAAACTCACAACCCATAGAAATACTGACTACTTGCGCCCCGCCTCTCATCACCCATCTCCACCAGTTTGCGCCAGGAAAAGGCATCTGGAATTGTTCAGTCCCTTAACTTAGTCCATCTTATGCTAGCCAAGCCATATATGGTTGGTTGATGATCAGTGTGTATATTAATTTTATACTGTTTAAGGAGCATTGTAATACTAATTTTTATCAATTGGGATTTTTTAAGGGATATAGGTTTGTTTGGAATTCTGAATCCAGTCTACCAGTAGCTTGATGGCCTCCAAGATTTTCATAAGAAATAATCGATCAGATTGTGAAAATTCATTTTTTTAAATATAAGGAAAGTTGTGTTGAAATAGTGTTAAATTGAAAAAGTGTTCACACATTTATATTTTATGTAAAACCAGTGGTCGTGGGGTGAGCTCCAACAGCTAAACTGAGTTAAAAAATATGAGCTGGGATAAGAATTTGGGAAAATTTCTGAGAAAATTTTAAATGGGAAATCTACTGCCTGTAATTTCATATACTTGGAAGGCTGAGGCAGGAGGACCACTTGTTTAAAAAAATAAAGGGAGCAAGGGGGGAAGGAAAACAGAGAAAGGAAGGGAGAGAGGATATTTGGATTAGTCACATTTAAAATGGCAACATTGCAACCGGTAGCTAGTGGTCCTGTGCTTTAGGTATGTAAACCCAGCACTCAGGAAGCTGGATGATGGTAAGTTTAAGCCTAGCGGGTACAATTTAGTGACTTGGTGAGACCCAATCTCAAAAGGAAAAGGAAAAAACAAGTATATCAAAAAAAAGGAAAAAAATGAAAGAAAGTCTTTGAAAACAAGGAGGGGTAGAGGGGTTGATGGGAGGGCAGGGGAATGGGTAAAAAAATAAGCAAGATATGTTACATATAGGTGCAAAGTCCCAATGACAAATGTCACTGTAATGTATACCTGAAATGTGCAATAAATTTATAGATTAAAAAAAAGAAATGAAAAGTTCCGGTGTTATATGTACCCAAGTGAGAAGGTCCTGGGTTCATTCCCCAGGTCGACAAAAATAAATAAAACATAAAAGTAAAAACACCTACTTCTTGGCAGTGAGGGGACTGTTTCTTTGCTCAAGGACCTTCTCCTCACTTTCAGTGTCATTAAAGGAAAAGATTTCCCTCCATGTTTAATTCACAGTAACCAGAGTTTTCTGAAGGGTGATCACAGAACTGCTGAAGGTGGGATTATGTTTTCAGTTCAGGGGCTGCAGGCACAACCTCTCTGGCCTGGGGATTGGGAAGAAAAGGGAGAAGCCCTCACTCTGGCTTTGGTGGAGTCTTCTGTTGTGTTTCTCTGAAGCAGCAGGACATGTGGGCCAGGTGGCACCCTTGACCATCTGTCCCAGACAGACAGGGAGTCCAGTGAACAGAACTTGCAGAGGACCACATGGATGGTTGCTGTCCACTTCCAGTCAGGACCACTGAGGAGGATCTAGGCAAGGGGCTCGCCTGGGACCTGAACATTCCTGTCGGCATGACTAGGCTGTGCTCTGTCGGGTAACCATTCTCTCGCTGGGGATGCATTTTGCCCTGCCTTGCAGGTGCATGTGAGCCCAGAGCAGCAGAGTAAGGAAGGGGTGGCAGAGGGCACAGGAGACAATGGCGGGTCAGGGCCACGACGCCAAGGGCATTCGGCACATTTTTGTGAGGTGCATGGCCGGGTCTAGGGACAGCTCTTCAGAGACGTCACCTCCTGCACAGGGAACTCACCCAACATTCACTCTAAAGCACAAGGCCTTATAAAATCATACTGGGATGCAACCTACTGCATCCCATGTAGAAAAGGGATCATGCTGAAGAGTTGATCTTCTAGAGAAAACTAAAGAATTCGTGATCCACCAAAAAGAAAACAAAAACACATCTGCAGGAAGAAACCAAGAGAGGCAAAACGGAGATGCTGAACATTAGGTTGCTCGACTTGGTGCAACAGGCGTCTGGGGAACCACGCTTGACACCATGTTATGCTCCAGTTGAAGCTGGCCCAGTGAAACTTTGGAAAAACTGCCTTGAAGAAGACAGTTTAGAAAAGGAGAGCTGCACAAGGTCTCTGCTGAAGGTCCCACTCCAAGCCAGCCGAGGAGGGCACGGGCAAAGGAGCATGGGTGACAGTGGCTCCAGGCAACCCACCTCCAGTTAGGCCCCAGAACAGGGTGGCATCACAGAGCCCACCGCGGCTGACTCCCACGGGTGGCCCACAGCACGGGGGACCGATTTCTGTACCCTGCGGCCTCTGCCGTGGCCTCTACTTCACCCTCCTGTACTTACCAAGCCAGCCGAGGAGGGCACGGGCAAAGGAGCATGGGTGACAGTGGCTCCAGGCAACCCACCTCCAGTTAGGCCCCAGAACAGGGTGGCATCACAGAGCCCACCGCGGCTGACTCCCACGGGTGGCCCACAGCACGGGGGACCGATTTCTGTACCCTGCGGCCTCTGCCGTGGCCTCTACTTCACCCTCCTGTACTTAAACGAAATCTTCAGTCAGAGAGAAAAAAAGATTCGTTGAGTCCGACAAAAAGCTCCTGGGACTAGGAAAGAAGTCCACAACATGCGAGCCTGTGCCCAGACACTGGAGCCTGAGTCAGGAGAAGCCATTTCCTTGCTGGGCCCCTCTCGGAGGGAAGTGCACACTGCGCCCTCTTCAGCTCAGTCCAGGACTGAACTTTGTGCTGTCTCTCTCCTCCCATCTCTCCAGTTCCTTGGCCTGTCTGTTGCACTCTTGGACCCAGTGTCGCTGACAAGTGTCTCTGTCCCTGCTGTTAAGGCTGCGAATGGTAGCACCATGCACAAAAGCCTGCACCCTGTCACCTGACCCAGTGTTCAGCGGCCTCTCCTTCCAATGCATTCAAACAGGGAAGTGAGCAAGGGAAGGTGGTGGGCCCTGCTGTGTGTCACCTCAGGGACCCCCTCCTACTGAAAAGCCCTCCTTCTGTCCCAAGGCTCTGAGCAGCAGCGGGGCGGCTTTGTAAACTGGTTTTCTCAAGGGGGTCTCAGGGCTGTGAGTCAGAAGGATGTGCCAAGGAAGGCCTGACAATGGGGATCAGGAGCATTGGCGGCTTGCCCTGCGGGGGCATTAGAGGTGTGGACGCCCCTCCTGCCCAATGGCTCTGGTGTGACAGCCTAGAGTCTGGGGCAGCCACCGGAGCCACGTCCAAATTCACCGAGACCACCCGCAAATGGCCACCTCCTTTCAGTCATTGAGCACACACACAAACTGCACAGGAAACCCAATAAAACACATCCGGGAGCGAGTCGGGCCCAAAGGACTTTATACAGCACGTGGCTGCGTGTGGTGTGGATTCCCGATACTGCGACCCCATGCAATCAGGACTCACTGCCACACCAGCAGGGAGGACTCCAATGCCCAGGGCAAGAATCGGATCCGAAACGCTATCCTCTACTCTGCTCCACCAAACAGGTTCCCCACAAAACCCAGGGTTTGAAAATCCAACCACCAAAATCTGAAATTCCCTGCATCTTGCAAATTCCTGGAGAGAATAATCTTTCGTACAGCTCAACTTGGGACATTATCCTCGAGGTAACGTGTGAGTGTTTGCAGCTCACCTGGAAGCCGTTTGTCCCTGAGGGCAGTGGGAGTGTATGCTACCCCGGTGTCTGTTCAGGTTCCAGACAAATCTGCGGTTTGTCGACGCTGCCCTCAGCCTCCTCCTAAGGTGAGCACTGGAGCCATGGTTGCTCCTTCCTGCCACGCCACCCCGCGCCCGGGAGCTCAAGCCCAGGCCTTTCCACTCTGCTCTAGGCCACACTAAAACAACAGCGGACAGCCCGGCCCTTGGATTTTAAGCTGTCTCCTCCCCACAGCCCGGTCCACATGGTGAAGCCCACGTGGCTGACTCCCACTGTGGGCGTTCTGTGTGGGAGTATTGATCCCCTTTCCCCGGTGCCCACACATTTAGAAGCTCACTGCCCTAGCTGCATCCTCACACGGCTGAATAGTTTTAATCATTCAAGGGCCGAACCCTCTCACAGCCTCGGTCCTCGGTCATGACTCTGCTTGCTTCCCAGGTCAGACTGAACCCAGCATGACTCCCCACACACGTGCTCCCTAAAGACACCACCATTACGAGGAGCTGACTTGTATTTCTACTTTACTTGTTCAAAGGGTTCGGAGCAGCAATTGGGTCCTTTCATTTCTTTTCCATTAGTGAGACTTGTCCCTCTTGGTAACGACAAATTTCCACATCGTGACATTCACTTGTGCCATTCTCTGACAACAGCCCCAATTCAAACCTTTCCTCACAAACACGCTAAAAGGCAGTGCAAACGCAGCAGCCCAAAACTGCCTAGGAGAACAGCGAGGCCAGGTTGAAGCAGGTTCTAGAGAGGCTTTCACGGCGAATCGTTTTCGGGGTCCCTGGGCTTCACCGTGGCGTCAGTGACACACGTGGGTATGGAAACCTCCTTTCTGCGGGCAGAACACAGCAAAGCTTTGGCCAGGGTGGACGTTCTGGATGGAATGAAATACCTGGGTGCACAGTTGGAGTTTCTGAGTTCTCCCTCCCTGTTGGCCCAGCCCACGTTCTGTAATACCTACTTCCACGCTTGTTCACAGGGTGGGGTTTTGTCTGTGTGAAGAACTGAAGGAGGTGCTAAGAGCAAGCTGTGGGTTTTCAGATTCTTTTTCACTACTGGAGATTTCAATCAAGGGACTCAGTCAAACCGGCACGGACTCTAACTCTGGGCACTACCAGCAAGCTGCCCTTTTCAACAGCTCTGAGACGAGGAAGCAACTACATTACACCAGGTGTTCTCAATATTGGGATCCTCATGCCTCAGCCTAGGGAAGACCTAGGATTGCAGGTGTGTGCCACTATACTCAGCCAGGTGAATACTATTTAATTTGGAAGGCCTTTATTTATTGGTTTCTTTCTTTTTTTTTTCTTTGTTTATATATTTATTTTTGGAGACAGGGTCTCAGTATGTAGTTCAGGCTGGCCTGGAGCTCACCGTGTACCCTGGCTGGCCTGGAACTCTCAGGGATCCGGATGTCTCAGCCTTCTAGAACTTGGACTACAACCCTGCGCCACCATACCCAGCTATTTCGTTTTCATTCAGGAACTTTCTACTTACTTGAGGCAGGCCTTGAACTCAGTAGAGTCTCTAGCACAGCTTGACCTAGAACACCTGGGAATCCTCCTGCCTCAGCCTCCAGAGTTTGGAGAATACAGGGATTTGCCACCAAATTCAGGAAAAAAATTCTCTGAAGATGAAATGATTCCAAATTTCAAGCAAGTTGTGCCCACTCTGTTCACCCTGATGTCAATCCAGGCTTCAATAAACAATCTGTATTATTGGGCATAGTGGCACACAGCGGTTACGCCGGCTACTAGGGGTGCTGAGGGAGGAGGCTGGTGAGTCTGAGGGCAGCCTGAGTAACTCAGAGACGCCCAGTCCAAAAATAAAGAACAAACGCCTGCGGGTTAAGCTCAGTGGTAGAAGGCGTCTAGGTTCATTCTCCACTACAGAAAATGAGAAAAATGTCCTCATGATAATTAAAAACCAGGAGTGTGGCTATGTTCTCATGGGATTCATTTAGAGCAGCGGTGTCACCCTAGGCACCCATGCCTCAGCAGGGTGTCTGTATCCATGGAAGCTCTAGAGGTTCGCCATCCCTGATGTACACAGTGCTGAGAAATATTTCCCTCCATGCCCGGCAGGCATAGGTCCAGCGCTGGAGGGCACAGGCAGTGGCCCTGATCCCACCACCAGCCTGGGAGACACCAAAGCCTCCCAGGGACGAGACCCTGTCCTGGGGAACCAAGGGGCCTCCGGGGCCAGCTGCTCACCTTGCAAACACATCTGGGTATTGAGTGCGCTGGAAAATGCGCTCCACCTGCTGCAGCTGCAACCTGCAGAGCACATCGCACAAGAGGCAGGGCCCCTCCAGCTGCTCCTGCCCAGGCTCCTGCTCACTGCCTCTGCCCTCCTGCTGCTCGTCCTCCTTCTTGGGGCAGCGGCCTTCTCCCGCTGCTGCCGCCCGCTCAGGGAGCAGGTCCTCCTCTCTGTCTTCCTCCCACACATCTCCTGGTACAACCAGGGAGGTCACATCTGCAAAGGAAAACCAGAGGGAGGGGCACACAGTGAGGAAGGAGCAGGGGTAGGGGGAGAGGGGAACAAGGTCAGGACCACAAGGAGGGTGAGGGTGAGGCAGGAGCAGGGAAAAGGTGGGGAGAGCTCAGACAGGATAGCGGAGGGAGCAGAGCCAGCGAGGAGGGAGAGGGGAAGTAGGAGGTCAGGGTGGGTGAAAGGAGGGGAAAGGTGACACAGGAGGAGGACAGAGAGGACAGGGAGAGGGACAGGAGGTCAGGGAGTCAGGAAATGGGAGAGTTGGGAAGAGGAGTGTGTGGTGAGACAGGAGGGGTGGAGGGGAACCGAGGTGGGAAAGGGGGAGAGGAGAGAAGAACAGACAGGGGAGGGAGTGGGTCCAAGGGAGAGAGGGGGCGAAAGAAGACAGCTATCAGGTCTCTCAGGTGTGTCCGGGGGACATGGTGACAGTCCTGTCAAGTATACAGTGGCATTGCTGGAACTGGTAGCCTAGACCAGGAATTCCAAAACTTCTAAGACCGCCGGGCCCACAGGAGCTGACAGGTTTCACCCAAGAACACAAGGGCAGACTGGCACAGCTGGAGCCCTAGGTAAGATGGGCGCGGTGTACCCCAAGATCCACACAGAGCGAGGACCCGAGGCCCTGCAATTCACACAAGATCTTCTCCAAGGAATGGCCAAGCTGCTGCCCAGCCAGGAGTGGAGCCTCAAGGGACAGACTGCAGACCACCTCCTGAAGGGCGGCTCTCCCAGCCTCCATCTAAGGGTCCCGAGCCTCTGTCCGGTGAGAACAGGTACCTCACGGGGACTCATGCACCTGTGGGTGACCAGCACGGGGACCTTTTACCTGTTCATGTGCGCACCGTACAGAGGACGTGTCTGATGTGTGGGCAAACACTGCACCGTAAAGGTTTTGGCTGTTACCCGAAGAGTTCCTGTCCCTTACTCTACTCTAAGGTGCCCCAGGGAGGGAAGGGGGAAAGAGCAGCCACCCAAGGAGCCACAGCTTGGCAGGCTGAGGTGCTGGCAGGACAGCGGCTTGCTGTCCACCCCAGTCTCCTGGAAAGTCTTTCTTTTCGGGGACCTCACTCGACAGCACGTGTCCCTGGCAAGGCACCAACAGTGCAGTTTACCACTGTCCTCCAGGGTCTCCTTGTCTTCCTTCTTGGGGCCAGGAGCTCCCAGGCCCATTACACAGTCTCCTTCTCCTTCTGGTGCTCCCTGCTCAGGGAATTTCTTCCCATCTTCCTGTCCAGCTTCAACCAGGCAGGTGGACCTTGGCTTCATATCTGCAAAGAAGGAAAATCAGAGAGGAGGGAGAAACAAGATGTGGGGAGAGACACAGGTGGGGGATATGAAGCGGGGAGGAAGGGAGAATTGAGGTAGAAAGGGAGGAAGGAACGGTGAGAAAGTGGGGAGGTGTCAGGCAGGGAGAGGGGTTTGAAGGGGAGAGGAGCGGAGGAGTGAGACAGAAGAATCGGGTCCAGGATGGTGAGGGGGGAAGGGGACTATGGGGTGGGGGAGAGGAGAGAGGGGAAGCGACCAGAAGGCAGAAGGCAAGAGAGGGCCGTTGAGACAGTGCGCGGCGGGGACTCTGGAGATGAGAGACAGTAGAGGGAGGACAGAAGACAGAGCGAAGAGAGCGAGGACAGAGGAGACAGGGGCAGGGGGGTGCTGGGTAGAAATGCGACCCACATGGGGGCACTGAAGCCAGGACAGGGGCAGAGGAGTCAAGGGGCTGCCACCCAGGGAGCCTCAGTATTGGCACTGTCCATTGGCAGTGGCGGTGACGGCGCCGTTCCCTCCCATCCGCTGGCCTTGCCCAGAAAAAGTTTGTTTTCGGGTGTCCAAGCCCCGCCACACCTTGTGTCCCAACCTAGGTACTGACCAGGCCCTTCTCCGCGGAGCTCCAGGACTCCCGGGCTCTGAGAGGCCTCGTCCTCTAGGCTCATCTCCGGCGGGGAGGCCATGTCTTCACCGCACTTCCGGCTGTAGTGCATGCCTTCCAGGCAGCGGTGCGCCTGCGCATCCCCGCCCCTGCGCTGTTTCTTTCGCCTGCCGGGTCTCCACTAAGGCAAGTCTCAAAGCTCCTGCCCCCAACACAGCTTTCCAACTAGCTCACCTTACTTCTGAAACAGTACATCCTTTATCCTGTTTTTGCTGTTCTAACTATCCCTGACATCAGACACATTTTATAAAATAAAAGAACCAGCCGGGTGTGGTGGCACGTGCCTGTGCCTGTAATTCTAGGTACCTGGGAAGCTGAGCCAGGACAATCCCAAGATGAAGACAAAACAGCCTGGGCAATTTAGTGAGATGCTGTCTCATAATGAAGTCTGAACCGAGGTCTGGGGTGTAGCTCACTAGTGTAATTTTTACCCGATGCGTGTGGCCATGGACTCAATCCCCAGCACATAAGGAAAAAGAAATGAACAGCTTCATTGTCCCAGAAGTGCCCAGGTGGACCAACTCTCACCTCCTTGCCTACTCTGCTTGAGAGGAGGCCGAGTCTCTCCTGCGTCCTGTCCTTCCCAAAGGCGCCCAGCAGTTATGCTATAGCACGGATGCCCGACCCATTCGTTCTGAAAGAGCTGCTGGGTGATTTCATCCCCACACCCTGTCCCTGCCTCGAATCATCCTCCTGTAGCAGCCTCCTGTCTGCTGGGCTCCCCTTCTCAGGGGTAGGTGCCCTGCAGGGGATTTTGCCTTGGGTTCAGCTATTGCAAAGCCGCACTATTACTAAATATGGTGAGCATTAGGCTAGCCAAGAAAATCCCAAAGTTTCAGTCGTTTCACCTGGGGGTGGGCACACAAGCCTATGAACCCAGCACTCAGGAGGATGAGGCAGGAGGCTCTCCGGGAGGTCTAGTCCAGCCTGGACCACAGACAAGAAGCTGTCTCAGCAATCAAACAGCAGTGTTGAGTCCCGTAGACTCTCACATGGCAGGCTGCCATGGTTTCCTCCAGTGCTTTCTCATCTTTACTCATTCAGGAGCCCCTTTGGGGACTGCTGCCTAGTGGGTCAGCAGTCAAGGTAGTAGTTCCTGACAATTTCTAGTCAGAGGGCTTCCTATGGTACAAACACTCTAGAACCAAATAAGCCTGGTGTAGGCAAAAATCAGTTCCTGGGAGAGTGGGCTCTGGTCACGTGAGCCTGGCTGCCTCTGACTCCTCCTTCCCTTCTGGGTCCTCTCTGTTGCACATGTTGACACCCGGAGGGGCCATCGTCCTCTTAGAACACATCTGAGCTGCATGCTAAGCGCCAAGGTCTGTGCGGTGTCCTTGGACCTGAAAAAGGGAGAGTTGATTAACCCACTTTCTCAAGGAGGACCTGAAAGGAAAAAGCCAAAGGACACCTTCCCGGGATCCCGCACCCTTTCCCTCTGGTCACGATGCCACTGCCCCTCAGTAACCACCCCGGGTCTTCATCCCAGTTAGAGATCAGACCGCCTGACCAAGAGGCCCTGAGCTCCCGAAGAAAAAAGAACCTTGCCCCACCAGGAAATGGACCGTGTGCTAAGGTCTACCAGGTGATCCCAGAGCAGCGAGTTCCCAGCTTCATCATTCTCTGCCGCCCCTTCCAAACTGCTCGCTCTAAGGGAGCTGCTCTTCTGCCTCTTCAGGCCAAAGGCCCCACTCAGATCCTTAGCTCAATAAAGTCTCCCTCTCCTTCTCTTTTCATACAAAACGCGCTTTTCCTATGTTGTTATGGAAACACAAATGGGGCTATGATAACATCATTTTCACTGCCACTTGTGTGATGAAACGATTTATAAGTCTGAGAGCTGACTACCTAGGCCCAGGTGAGGCCCTCATAGGAGACAACTAGAGATAATCCGAAATCCTCTTTGAAGTCAGGAAACAGAAAAGGACATTTTCCTCAACTTTAAATTCTTACTTCCTATTGAAACAGTAAGTTCATAATCCAGCTATGTACTTGGAGTTAGATCAGCATTTGAATGTAGCAAACAATGATAGGTAGAATACTCAGTCAAAGGCAGGATGCTGAAAAGCATGCTCCATGCAAGTCTATATTTTTTTGATCTTAGTGGAAGAGTTTGTTAATGAAGGAACTCACAGCCAGTAGGATCTAGATTTTCTCTTCAGACAATAAGTAAACCCAGGGCCATTGGGATCATCTAAATTCCCTGCCCTTTTTAACTTTTTGAAATCAAGGCCTCACTTCTTCGCTAAATTGTGAACGCTTGGTTGTGATCCTCCCGCCTCAGCCTCGTACAGTGTTGAGATTAGATGTACTTCCCACCATGGCGGGCTAAGATCTAGGTGATTTGTAAACTACAGAAAACCAGAAAAGCACAGTGAAATTACCAAAGTGAAAAATAACTTCCTCTTTCTCCTAAATTCACACTTCATCCTAGAATAAAAGGTCATACCATAGGAAAAATGGTAGCTTCTTTGGTAACTACTTTATTTGAGGTAGGTTGCGTTGATGAAGAAATCCCGGCAATCTTCAACATATTTTTCTTACCCTAACTTTGTAGTACTTGTTGGAAAAATGAGGTAATTCCACAGAAAAGCACCGCTGCCTCGGCAACTACTTAAGATATGATCGTGTCTTGAGGTCAGGATGTGAAATCCAATTATTTCTCACATCCCAATTCTCCTATCTCATTAAATTAGTCCATTAGACCAACAGGTTCGAACATGCACGTAGCTAATCTGCCCTTGTAGCTAGAAACAACTAGACACACTGGTTGAATTTAGATTACAAAATCCCTTTCTTCTGGCATCTAAATAGCTGGATGTTTTGTAATGCACAGATAGTGCCAGAAAGTGCTTCTTAGGTGGAACTTCTCCGGTGGTAACTGCATGGACCTGGACACACGATGTGAAGGCGGAATGCTGGGGTCACACTCTCAAGCCCAACTTTGCTGGTCTCCAGGAGAGGCTTCTCGGCAATAGGGAAACTATGTGAAGACCTAAATGCTCATCTGAAGATGCTGGAAACACATAGACAGATACTGAAAGTGAGGCTAAGAAAAACACTGTCTTCTTTCTTACACTGAACTTCTTTGTGACCTAAGACACTAAAAATATAGGCAAGGGGTGGTAGCTAGGGAAATATCTCATAAGAAACAGCTAGAATTTGCTGCAAAACAATTTCAGGCCTTCAAGTCCAAAAATACATAATGTTCGTTATGAAATAACTGTGCTTCCCTTTAGAATATGGAAGCACTGCTATAAAGCGCAGGATCACCGAGGCAAGGTGGGGAAATAAGTAGATGTGACACAAATGACTAGTTCAAAGCAGAAAGCTATAAAAAACCAAAATCCTTTCTCTGTCAGTGTTTTTGTGTACAGGAGACTGAGCCCAGGACATTGTCACTGAGCTATGTCCCCTGAGCTTGTTAGGTGCCATTTCCAGACAGGGTCTCACTAAGTTGCCCAGGAGTTCTTAACTTTGATCCTCCCGCCCTCACTTCCCAAAGCGCTGGGATCACAGGCACCGGGCACCACACAGGCTTCAGTCTCATGTCTTTGTTCTTCATGAGGTAACGCATTCATAGCATGGATAACCGGTGTTACTTTCCGTGGGAAATAACTAGAAAACGAACTGATGCCAGGATATGGAAAAACGTATTTTTTAGAAGTGCAACTTACTTCTCCTCAGGTATTGCAAGAGTCGCTCATCACCGGCATGGAGGTACACATGTTACCTCGTGGTAACTGCAAAAACTGGAAAACCTCCTCCTTCACTGAAAAATACCCTGAAAGGGCTTTTCATGTCTCCATGGTTTTTGAATAGTGTTTAAAGTGCAGTTACCAGTGCTGTGTGGTTTTTGGTTTGCTCGGGGTAAGTGCACGAGATCAGAATGGCTGGGGAGAGGCAGGGCCGTGCAGGGCCGCAGCGTGAGCTGGCTATGGCCATTTCCAGCCTGTCCCCATCACCATCACCATCACCATCACTGTCACCGTGTGTAACTCTGGTCTGTGTTCCCTGCACACGTACCCAGCGCTCAGAGGTTCCTGCGTGTATTGCTTAACATCACACATCCTAATTCTTTGCCAGACCCCGTGCACTCCCCTCCCTCCAGCCTCCCTCTTAGTGTAAGGAGACACGGGGCATGCGGCCCTCTACACTGCACCCTGGCTCCTTCAGCACCAGGAGTGCGCCTGACATCCTTGGACTTCGCTTGAGACAAACCAGCTTGAAGGAAAGGCCCTTTATCCGGGGCACTATCTAAGCCGCTCCTCCTGACTCAAGTCACAAGGATCCACCAGTTTTCCTGCCACCTCTGACCGGCCTTCTGTCAGGAAGTCCCCGTTAAATGACACCCGTGCTCCCCCGGCTGCGTGTGCCCCTGTCTTCAGCCTCCCAGCATCTGAGCACGCTTCTCATACACCAGGACGGGGTTTCTCCAGAACGGGGCCTAAAGACACCCCACAACCTGGCCAAGAGCAAGTTCTTCTTACCTTTTGAATCTTTAGTTACCTCAATCTCTATTCCCCTGTCCCTTTGTAATTATTCACCAGAAATAAAAAGCACTAAGAGGACAGCTTAGTCCCAGGGCAGGAGATGACAACCCCTCTGAAAAGACTGAACTCTCTTCTCTTGCTGCAGACAAGAGCATCAATCCGGCAGGCTGAACAAACACTTCTCAACACTACAGTCTTGTTTATTTTTAAATGACGAGATAGGCCTACAGATGTGTATTGGAAGGTAGGGGACTGCGTCACTGGACAACACTTTCACTGTGAAGATGAAGCCAGAGTGAGAAGACATTCTTCTCATGAATACCTTTTCCTGTCTTGTTTGCCAGCATCACGAAGTTCCGTACACCTATTGGTACAAACTGAGGACCTGGAGATGATGAAGACAATGCAGCCAAGCCTGGACGCTTGGAGCGATGGCCTTGACAAATCCCACACAGCTCACTGTGGCCCTTAGCAGACTGGGGTGCAGGGCCTCTTGATGGTGACTCAAGGGAATGCCCTCACCATGATTCAGGATGAATGGCACTTCCTGAACACCCTGCATCCATATCTAAATAAACAGAGAAGGAAGGAACAGGGAAACAAACACACTGAGAATTCACTTCTTTATTGCGTATATAAGTGCCGTGGACGTAACTATTCCATGGGCAGCTATTCTGACCCAGGCGTCTGCCAGAAAAAGCTGCAATCCCAGTCTGCATCTTGAAAAGGGCCGGCATCCTACAGCAGCTCTTCCACCTCCTCAATGAGAATGTGGTCCTGGGAATCAGGAGGTGCATTCCTCAGCATCGCTCTCCTCTGATTTTTCCTGTATTTGGCTCTCCGATTGTTAAACCAAACCTGAGAACACAGGGGAAAAGGAGTTGGTGAGTAGGCAGCAGGTGCTCACAGAAGGGAAAAAAACACCTCAGGAAACACCCTATGGCCCCGGCACTTAGATTGCAGGTGGGAAGCTATTTTCCTCAGGCCGAAATACCTTCGCGTGCTGGGGGTGACGTCAGTGGAGCAGCACAGGACCCTCCTCCCCAGGGCCCTGAGCTCCATCCCAAGGAGCAGAAAACCAAAGAGCTTAGGAACGTAACACCACACCTCCTCTTGCATCTCACGCTGAGTGAGCACCAGCTCTCTGCCCGGGTCAGAAGCTTAGAAGATTTATCCGTTTCCTCCCCACCTCACTATTGCCTAATGGTTTCATCCAGAGGTTGGGTGCAGCCCTAGGTAACAAGCTGCTCCAGGTGCCCAATGTTGGCCCCGTGTCATCTAAGCAGATGAAGCAACACGGCACCCTCACTGCTGACCGCAGTCCAGCCAGCTGACTCCTGCTGCCAGCTCACCAGGGAGGGTGTCACCGGATCTTCTGTAACCCCTGATGATGAAAGGCTGTGGGGGGGCAAGGGATGCCAGACACCGCTTGGATTTGTGGTCTGTGGTGTGAGAGAAGGGCACACAGACTCATCCTGAGGGAACGCAGACTCCCCAAATCCTTGCCCACCCAAGGCTTTAGGGGCAAGATGCTGCCGTGGTCTCCACAGTCCTTCCTGCTCCCTACAGCTTGCCACACCTCCAAGCCTTTCTGGGCTCAGATCAAAGCCAGCTCACTGCATTTCCTCAGAGCTTACCACTGAAGAAGACAACTGGATTTTCTCTTATTTGTAGAGATTGTCGAAGACGCCCGTCTCATTATACTCAATGCTAGAGCTTTAAGACATCTTTTGCCTCTTTCGAGCATTGCCTTGTCCTTCTCATTTTTAGACGTTAGCTAAAATTCATTCCATACCCCAATTTGTGCTTACTCCTCCCCATAAAGCGATTTCCAAACCTGCAATGTTGTGTCCTAGTCATCTAGATTCTGAATATTTGCAGAACATTTTCACGTGCATATTTCAATGCAGGCAGGAAAATATAAATGCTGACCTTTGCTCCATCTATTAACTTGCCAAGCTTACAAAATTAAAGGAGGGGGAGAAGAAAAGCAAATGTCTTGAGCTACCTTCATCGACCTCACTTCAGTAGATGTCCATAATGGCTCGTAGCATATTTTCTTTGGGACTTTGCTCCCAACGCTCAATTTTCATGAGTTTGGCATTGGCCACGTAACTTAGTGTTAGAGCCCTTGGGCGTTTGTGTGTGAGGTATGTGGTTTTATGCCCAGAACGAAAAAAGAAAATCACAAGAGATCAGATCAAAACCAGTGAAATAAGCTTTTATAAATTCATTTGTTTAGCTAAGTGTGTAGGTTTGTTTTCAAATAACTTCCTCCAATGTAACCTCTTAAAAACTTGCTTCCTGCTGAATCCACTTGGATACTTTTAAGGTCAGACTGAGCCCCAGAAGGACTGCACACTGACAAGCATGGGCAGGAGGATGCCAGCCTTTCAACTAGGTTAACTTTATCATATTTAGACCCACGGATCATGGATGTATGTAACTATATACCTCTACGTTATGTGCACACGCGTATATATCACCGTGCCCACAAAATAGGAGAAGCGGCTTGCTCATCTGTTTTGGATCTGTTTTACCTTCGGAAAATCGTGTTCCCTGTGTTGACGAGAAGGAAGGTCAGGCTCAAGTGTACTTATCCATCCTCCGTGCCCAAATCCTCTAAGTTCCATTCTTGTGATGGTGACAAAGGACAAGAAATAACCCCAGCCTCACAATGGCCAGGAAACAGCTCTGTCCTGAGGCAGGATGGAGCCTGACGGCCCTCTCACCAGGCTTCCCAAGGACATACTGACCTGCACTCTGCATTCAGGCACGCCCATGGCACTTGCCAGCTCCAGTCTGTGGAGAGAAAACCACAAATGTTCCAGATTCATTGTCTTGGATGAAGGATTCCGTGTTTAGGACGAATGATACACCCTATATACATTCTGTGCTGGAAGAGGAACTTACCAGCCCCTCTAAGTGCTCCAAGTACATGTGTGTGTGCCTCGCCGAGAAAGGGTCTCTCCTAAGCAATGCTTTCAGCACCTCACAAAACTTAAGACAGCGTTAGCCCCTCAGAGGTATGCTACTCCATTTTTTTCAAAAGCAAAAATGAGTGCAAACGTCTACAATGATAAAATCCTACGCATTTTAAATGCAGGAAGCCTAGAGCACCACAGTACGTCATCCCGCCAAACCTGACTGCAGAAAGGTTTATTTACAAAAGAAGCCATGCATTCAGCTAATAACAGAATGAAAGATCAAGTGGACCGTGGCAGAAGTAACCACTTCTCTGAATCGGTAGATCCAGTCAAGAGGCTGGAAAGGAAGCCCCAGAAGGGGGAAAGTATTGGCAATGCCTGCCTGATACAGAGATCCAGAAACAGCCCTCCCAAGTCAAGAAGCAGAACACATCACCCGGGTGCAAGCATCAGAAAGCACTCAATGACACATTTCTCCACAGAGTATACAGATGACGGGGGAACAGAGAAGACAGCCTCAAAATGCACATCAGAACCATGGTGCTAGCAATCACACCCATCTTCTGAACCCCTCTCAAAGCCTGGGAAATAACAAGCTTGCTGAGCACCCGGGAGGCGGGTAATGGAACCCTTTGCCGCTGATACGGGAAATGTCAAATTGTGCAGCCGGTATCCCAAAGGATCTGCTGTTGCCTCACAGCCTAAGCATAGAATTCTGTCACCCGATGACTCCGTTTCTGAGGCTGTACCGAAAACCCGGGTGTTCCCAACTACTTGTCCAGCCACGTTCACAGCAGCACTACTGACAAGTGCAACCTCTCGGATGATGAGTGATCAACAAGCTATCCGTACCACGGAATGTTATCCGGCCTTACAAAGAAGGAACTTCTGACGCCTGCTGCAGCATGAGGGCAACTTCAGGGTGTATGAAGCGACCTGAGCCAGGCTCTAAACCTCCCTCAGCCTGTGCCTTCACTTCGATTCCAAGACAAGGCAAACCCATACACCTAAAAAGTGGAAACATGATTGCCAGGAGTTGGGGGCATGAGGACCTGGGAGATGCTTCCTGTGGATAGTTTGGTTTTGCAAGAGGAAGAACGTCCTGGAGATCCGCTGCACAGCAACAGGAAAATACCTAACACTGCTCATGTCTGTCCTGCAGAGGGGTTCAGGGAGCAGAATTTTGACCTCTGCGTCGGATGGATGTCACACGAGGCAAACAAGACAAAGTACTGGCCATCCACAAGTTTCCAGACAGGCATCCCCGTAATACCTCAAGCAAGTCCCCCCTTAGTCCATCCTAGGAGCCATCCTGCCCCCGGCAAAGAGGCCGGCGGGGGAAGAGCCCAGGAGGTCTCAGGTCAGGAGCGGAAGGAGGGCAGCAGGAGAGAGCGGAGGCACCTGGAAATGAGCCCGTCACCCCTAAAGCCTGGGAGCACCCCGAGCCAGCAACTGACCTTGTGAGGACATCCGGGTAGTGAGTTTCTTGGAAGACACTTTCCAGCTCCTCCACCTGCCACTGCGTGAAGCTGAACTGGACTCGTGGCCGCCTGGGCCGGCCCCGCCGCCCTCCTCTGGCATCAGAAAGCTCCTGTTCCGCAGGCGGTCTCAGCCCTGGATCATCGTCACCGAGGTCAGCAGGCGGGTCAGCGGCACCTCCCCGGCTCACGGAGCCCTCTTGGGTCGGGTTGCGGTCCTCACCGTGGTCCAGGTGGCCCTCGTGGAGGCCGGCGCCCCTGAGGCCGAGAGCCCGTTCGCTGAAGTGGCCGCCTTCAGCTGCAGCAGCGCGGACCCCTGGTGCAGGACCCGCGCTGGCTTCCAGTTCCCAGAACTCCAGGCCAAAGTAGCTGGGATCATAGTAGTCGCGCTCCTCCTCCATGGCCGCCATGGCGCAGAGCCCACCAGACCTCCTGCTCAGCAAAAACAAGTGCAAATGCAGTGTCTCCCGAGAACAGCTTGGGGGCAAAAGGCGGAGCCTGAGGTTGCAAGTTGTTACAGGGATCCCGCACCCCAGTCAGCAGGCTGCAGTCCACATGCGCTGACCCGACCACTGCTATTGGCTGTCTTCTGGGCTTAAGGGTCCGAAAAGATGGCGGGGCGGGCCCAGGAGAGAGCCCCTTGTGGAGCAGCGGGGTATCACCGAGACTGGGCATGCGCAGAGTGGGTCGGAACAGGGCGCTCAGCTTGCTGACACCGCCCACTGCGTCCCCCGCGTGATTCGGGAAGCCACTGGGTTGGAGGGCAAGCTGCTAGCAAGTGGAGGGGAGGGGCGAGAACTCACACTGCCCACAGGCGCTGTGGTGGGAAGCCTCGAAACTGTCCCTTGTCCCACCCTCCAGCCTGGCTCTAGGTGTGCTAGCTTAGTACAATGTTTTCAGCGCCTTGGCAGAAGGAACAGGGCCTGAAAAGCCCCATCGCCTATTTCAGGAGCACGACACTTGCAGTAGTGCTAGATGACTGGGAACGCTCAAAACCTGCTAACTGCACATGCTGTAACCCTGAGCCAGCTCCACATATGACACTGCTGGTCACAACCGGCCTAAGGCAGGCACATCCAACGGACAAGGGATAGGCAATCAATTTGCCCTTCAAGATCCCCGAGAAGATTGCCAGCTCCCAATTCCCAGTAAGAGTGAAAGCGTTTTTTCGATTGTTAGTTTAAATTTCGAGACTGGATCTCACTACATTCCAAGATGATCATGAATTCTCTCTGTATCCCAGGCTGGCCTCAAAGTTGCCACCCTCCTGCCTCAGCCTCCCAAGTGCTCAAATTACAGATATGTGACAACTGGAAAAAACATGCTCTTAGACCTCTTGTACTTAGTGTTCCATTTTCAGACCCTTACATAAACAGCGGAGCATACCGGGACCCTTGCCTTACTGATCTCCATGCCCTGAGCCCCACCCTTTTCCTGAGCTGTGCATACCCACTTGTGCATACTGCACAAGCTCACTGCTCGACCCAGCCCTCTGATCTCTAGAACCCTCTGACCCTGTCCCCTGTGTCTGCACAGACCCTGGGAGCCCATGGTGTCTGAGCCAAAGGGAAGTTGGGCTGCTGCTCTGTCCTCTCCTTACCTCAGCCCTGCTCCCATGCTCCTTTCCTCTCCTCTGCTATGTTCCTCGTCCCCCTTGAAAAAAAAAAAGCAAAGACCGGCTGGGAGGTCATCAGGCAGTGGTTGATCATCTCACCAGCAGTGACTATTCCTCTCTTGACCATGCCCCCTTGAAGAAAGGCTTTCTCACCTGAGTTCAGTCCTTAGCAAAGAAACGAGAATACTATAGACATATAAAGGAACCGAATCATTGACAAATGTGGAACGGGTTTTAGACACGTTTCACTCCTTTATTTATTTATTTAGGTACCCGGGATCGAAGTCCAAACCTTTCGCTTGCCAGGCAGGCAGGGACACAACTGAGTTACATGCCCCGCCTCTAGAGACTTTTCCATAATTTTGACACTTCTATTGTGTTCCCATGTTTCCGTGGTTTTGTTCCATCCTTCTCTAAATTTTGCACTGTGCTTTTAATCTTTGTAGTTTTTCTTTACTTTTCCTCAGGCCCAGAATCAGCCCGTGCAACTTATGTGCACCCTAGAAAGGAGGACACTGAGCAGAGCTGGGAGGACTGCAGGTGACTGAGTGTCTGCCCCCTTCCCACGGAGCAGTGAGGACCTCGTGGGGAGCTGCTGTCAGACTCCGGGTTTCCACTGAGCTCCTCAGCATGGGTGAAACCCCGCCCTGTCTACACGTGGGGTCCTCACATCAGGGACTGTCCCAGCATTTCTTGAACTCATTTGAGACCCAAAATCACACAGTGGTGGTGAGGGAGCCATGGTCGGGCATCGAGCACTGAGACTTCAGTGCGGAGTAAAGGTCATTGACAGCCCACCATGGCGCTTAGCAGACTGCTGTGCAGGGCCTCTTGATTTTGACTCAGGGAAGCGCAGTCAAAAAATGGGGCCTTCCGTTATTTTGTTTAAGTGACATTTCCTAAATACATTACATCCACCTTCAACTAAACCCCCAAACAGGAAAACAAACATATGGAATTCCCTTCTTTATTGCAAATATACGCGCTGTGCAGATAGCTGTGACAAGGGCTCCCATCGGTGGTGGCACAGATGACCGTGGGAATAGTACACCAACCAGGATCTGCATCTTGCAAAGGGATGGCAGCCTAGGCCGCCTCTTCCAATCAGTCAATAGGAAGTTAGAATAGGAAACTTGGTGGGGAATTCATCAGCTTTTCTTTCTCATTTTTCCTATATTTGGCTCTCTGATTTTGAAGCAAACCTGAGGTCAGAGGGAAGAGGGGCTTACTTAGAAGACAGCAGGTGCTATCATAATGGAAAAACACATCATGCAACATTCTATTCCAGTGACACTTAGATTGTACAAGGGAAGTTATTTTCCTCAGGCTCAAATAATTGGAGGGCTAGGCATGACTTCAGCGGAGCAGCACAGGCCCAGCCTGACCAGGGCGCTGAGATGCATCCCTGCACAACCCCCCTCGTACACCTCTGCCAAGCATTACACCGCAGCCAGACCCAGACCTGTTTCAGATGTCACTGTGCTCTGGACGTGCTCTCAGCCTCCCAGTTCCCGAGGATTCTTATTTGTCAGGAACATTGTGCCGTGTGCAGAGCAATTCACATTCCGAGCTTCCACCCTCTCTATTACCTGACCAAAATTTAGAAGGAAAAGGAAAGCAGACAACTAACCATTCAAACTAACTTCATCTCTATCAGCTCAACTAGACACCCACTGCTTGCTCTTAAGAGTATTTTTCTTTCAGAGTCTAGTCTCACTTCCCAATATTTATGAATTTGGGGCTGTGCATACAACTTGCTGGTAGAACCCTAAGCTCTTACGCCTGAGGTCCAGGGTTCTATGCCCAGTGACAAAAGGAGAAAGAAAAGAGGTGAACATAAAATGAAAGAAAAGAATATTTATAAACTCACGCCTACCTAAATTCTTGGACTTGGTGTCAGATAATTTGCGACAAATGAACACTTGCACCTTGCATCTCCCTGCTCCCATCTGCATACTTTGAAGTTCACACTGAGCCCCAACAAGGTGCACACAGAGGTTCATCCTAAAGGATAGCAGTGCTGCAGACGGTGACCTTCAGTTAGTGAATCCTGCCGGTGCATATCCGTGTATTAGCTGTCCCTGATGACAGCTCTCTGTAGGATGGACAGGTATAAGGGTTCCTTTGGGCATCTACAATAGGAGAAGCAGCCTGAGGCCATGTTCTGTTTTTCCTTGATGAGATCTTGTACCCTCTGGAAATGGGAAGGAATTGAAAGGCCACTGTAACTTATTCCATTTTTAACCATGAATTCTCATCAGTTCAAATTTTGCTAGTCAAAGAAAGAAAGGACAAGAAACAACACCACTATGACAATGTCCAGGACAAAGGTATGTCCCGCAGCAGGATGGAGACTGACTGCCCTACCAATTGGCTGTGCTTGGATGTACTGACCTTCACTCTGCTTTCAGCCGCATCCAGGTCTCTTGCAAGCTGGCGTCTGTGAGGGGAAAACAACAAGTGTTCTGTATTCAGGGGTCAGGAAAAGGATTCAGTGTTTTGGAAGAATGAATTATCACGTAGACATCCTTCACTGCTTTTCTAATATGAACCACTCATAGTGATGCAAGTAGATTTTTCTGTCTTTCCAAAGAAAAAGACGATCGAAATGTGACGGCCTCATAAACTTTTAAGGTGGCCCTAAAATTTAAAGCTATTTTAACGCATTATTTTGGATGAGGAAAATGAATAAAAAATTATTTTGAATCGAGTAGAAATTTAAACTCAGGAAGATGACAGCTCGACACTATCTCATTCTACTGACCTGCCATGCACAGGAATTGCATTCACAAAAGCAGACCCTAAATCAGGCAACACAACCATGGTAAAGTGGGCGGTGTCAAATGTAATCGCTTCTTGATTTAACAGATCCAGGTAAGGCATTGAAAAGCAAGGCGCAGACTGAGGAAAATGTTAGGAAAGCACGTGTGATACAGAGGTACAGAAACACCCCTCCCAAGTCAACGGGCAGAACACAACACTCAGGATGAAGCAGCAGAGAGCTCGCACTGCAACATTTCTCCACAGAAGGCACACAGATGACCAGGAAGCAGAGAAAACTAGCTCCAAATGACTCAGCCCTGTTGCACCTCAAAGCCACAGTGCTATCAATCACACCCCTCACCTGAACCACGGTCAAAGCCTGGGAAATAACGAGTGTGTTGAGCCCTTGGGGAAACTGGAGCCCATGATCACTCTTGGGAGAAGTGTCAAAATCCACAGCCACTTTTTCAAAAGGTCTGCTGGGGCCTCAAAGCCTGACCACAGAATTCTATGATCCCACGATTCTGTTCGCGAGGATGTACCGAAAACGCTGAAAACCTGGGTGTCCAGAGCTATCCCTCAGGCATGTTCACAGTAGCGCTATTCACAAAAGCAACCTCTCCACACATGAATGATCAACAGGGCTGTATCCATGCAATGGAATATTACT